CCTGCTGAAGTCTTTGTAGCAAAGACCAAGCAATCATGGCCCAGGATTCTCCCCAAAGCAGCACCTGTCCCCTTGCATTTGAGAAAGCAAGCAGACCTCAGACTGCATAAGCAATTACACTTTCCTACACCAGGGCAATGAACACCTCAACAAGACCAACCTATTATTCGCCCTCTTCGTTAGCAAGGCCACCGGCATCAATGTCCCTTATGACCCCTGAGCGTGAGGACTATGACTGTATCTTATTCCTGTAACAGGACTCCCCAAAAGCTCTGTGCATACCAAAAACCGCAAGGACCAGGACTGACACCGTACAAGCCAGCTCCTGTGGCTAACAACCGAGAAATGCCTGCACTGAAAGAGCTGCTACAAATAGCCCTGCCATCCCTGCAGCTTTAAAGGTTACCTCATCTTTTTCCTCTTGCCTGCGGCGCTGCTCTGCTTCAAATACCAGCTTCACTTGGATTTCCTGAGCGATCTCGCAGTCCTGTCGTTCTCTAGAAGGCAAGGAGACAAGGATTATAAGCAGCTAAAGTCACAGGCATCAGTCAGCCTGGAGAAACAGGTAAGAGACCTAAAGACCCCATCTGATTTACACAGAAGGATTATTACTCTGTATTAATGCAGAGCCTATGAATCCCCACCAGGGACCAGGACTCCCTGTACTTACTGCTGGCCAGTTTTAGAAAATAGCTCCCAAAACTTTCACAACCAAAGTATAAAGCAAGAGAAAACAGATTCATAGGCAGTTTGCTAAGAAAGGAGGTAGGAACCATAAGATCGGGCAGGCCAAGGTAGCGCACAGGAGTCTCTGCAAACAGCCTAATTCTGCTGAGGAGTTTTTGCACACCTGGTGCCAAAGGAGGGCCTTAGGTTAATGCAGGCATTTCTGGTAAGTGGTTTTCACGTGAAAGCCAAGAAGGAGAGAGTGCAGAAATGCTGACAGCAAAACGCAGTACGGAGGCCAAGCGGAGGCTGGAGGTGGCAGTTCAGTAATGAACGAGAAATGCTGCTGAGGTGGGATGAAGCACAAAAGCAGGACCGGTGCCAAGAGGCGAGAGCCCAACATGCGGCAAAACACAGGGTGAGGAAGCCATCATCACAGTGCCATGCGGATGCAGGAACAACACAAGATTGAATTAACTAGGGACAGAGAGACACCGAAGTAATTGAGACATGAAATGAGGTTGTGTCTGCAGATAAACCGGGAAGGCCGTATTTCAGGGATGTCATACAGAAAGCATCTGCAAGAATTGTGCTACACTCAGCCACTCACGCCGATGCCTGGCAAACAGGCTGGAACGGTGGCCAGGGGTTCCTTAGGGCAACCCAGAAAAAGGGCTGGGGGATTTGAGAAGAAAGATTAAGAGCTCTTTTTTTCCAGCACTGTTGAAATCGAGCCAGAGACTAGCTCTGAACGGGTCAGAAAAATCAATCTAAGCTATCTCTGCAACTGAGACTGCTGAAAGGCGAGGCACAGGAGATGAGAATGGGAACAGCGGCAGGCAGAGCTTGCTTTATTAGAATACAATCTTTTGAAGACTACACTGGCAATGATCATCAGATAGGTGATGGGAGGACTATCAAGAGCGTATCATGGAAGTCAAGCAAATATTTCAAGAGAAGCAGGTTCAGCCACGTCAAAGTTGTGCTGTGTAGGCTGGAGCAACTCGTTCTAGGCTTGAGCAAGGATCAGGGCATAAATGACCTAGCGAACTTGGAAGCAAAGACTGGCAGAGAGCGTAGGAGATGAGCAGAGGAAATTAAAATACTAAGTGCAAGACAAGTGCTTTTTGTAGCAAACCAGAAAGAAGTGGCATGGCTGGAGCAGTCAGTGGCGCCACACAGCCTTCTTCTATAGAAAGTGAAGAGGAATGAGAGAAAGAGAGAGTGGATATGAGGCTTAGGGTGGGGAGGAAGGACACTGCAAGAGAGTTTAGAGGACAAATGCCACCAAGAAACAACTAATCTGTCATGGGCAAGGAAAAGGAATGTTCAGCGAGAGGGAGAAGAAAGTTCTTTATTTCTGTCAACTGACCCTTGGAAGCAGACCTGCAACTGTAAACGGCATGTTATTAATATCAACCCCAAGTCAGTATCACAACATGACATGTTCTTCCCTTTCCCAGACCACCACACTCACAAACACTTGTGCATATTTGTAAATTGACCCATGTCTAGAGATGTCCTGGAAGGCACCCATGAATTTCAGTGTTTCTAGGGCTGCAGTTATCAATAGGTCAAAGAACTTCAGACATCAGTTTCTTTCATCCAGGTAATAAAGCCTGGTGGCTTGTGTGTGTGCCTATGCACGTTCCACTTGAGTCCAGGGAGAGACCTGCTCAAAGGCACACGAGCCCACACAGCAGCAAATCCAGTTCTTGAACCTGCCACATAAAAACAGACCTTAGCAAACCTGGTACCAGCAGAGAACCACAGTCCCCAGCAAAACAATAGCTGAATGTGCAAATCCTGGGGAGCAGGCTGTCAGTGGGTCTAAGATAGTGGATCCCTTATGACCCCAGTCTCAGAGGACATGAATCCAGGTAGAAAATAAGTTGGAAAGGTCAGACATATCAAGGCATTGCACGTCTCCAGTTCCCCCAGCACCTGTGAGCAGAGCTAAGGTGCCAATTTCATCAGGACCAACTGACTTGCTAAATGCTTAAAATACATCCTACTGCAAACAGGAGACAGAAACAGCTAATAGTCTTCCAGAGCCAAGGCAACAAGGTCATGGACTCTCCATTCGCAGCGAAGAACACTAGAAGTACTGCAAGAGCAGAAGCATTTTCTTGTTCCTGATGACAAACATCTTGGAGTATATCATATGGATCTCCAAGATCCACTCAACAGGAACAAAGGATTAGATTTTGGGTTTTACTGCTCAGTGGTAATTAAATACTGGGACTTGATTAGTTAATTAACAAACTAGTGTTTCAACTTGTCTGAGCATAACAAAATAAGTTAAAGAACTCTGACAGCTCTTCTTGTCCTTCAGTCTTCAATGGGAGTTCAGGTGCCCATCAGTCCCCAGAAATCAGCCAGAGCAGCACAAACATCACCACCCCTGAACATCGCACCTAGGTGTCCTTCAGTCCTGGGCAGCCAGGAGTGTTGAGGGTGTCAGGGAAACTCTACATGGGGGGGGGGGGGGGGGGAAGTCAGTGTGATCAGAAAGCTCCCATTCCCGTTGGCTGTAACAACTAATTGTTGTCAAATCAGGAGAGAAAAAAAAAAAAAAAAAAATATTTAAGGGAAACAGTCAAAGGAACTGTTCACATTAGTATTCAGCAGCCTTGCTACTACGCTTCGCAGTATGCAGGCTGCTCAGCTAGATGCGAGAGATGCTTTTCAAGCAGCATGAAAATAAGGTTTGATGCTTCCCTGAATTCTTAAAAAGAGAAGAAAAGTTATTTCTATTCTCTCATTTATCTTCACAAAGACCTTCTGTGATCATCTAGGATTTGAAAGACAGAAGAAAGCCCATAAATTTGAAGAGCTTTTTTTATGTTCCCTGTTTCTAAAGACCACCCAGTTCTGCCCCTTTACTCCTCCCATCACCTTGCAGTGTCAAACTGTCCTAGATGATACAGAACGCAACAACAGCAAGGATCATCTTGTTGCCAGAACACGCTGATCTTGCACAAGGAAGAGACAGTGGGAACGTACAGAGAATTAAGGAATAAAAAGATCCAATTACAAAAGGATGCTTCCAACTTTCTTTACTATTCTTGCAGAAGAGCTCATGCTTTCAGGAGCAGAACTGCTGCTGACACAACATTTTGCATCAGCAGTTCTGCCTGTAACTTGGCTCACAAAGTTTGTAAATCCCATTTTAGAGCCCTACCACAAGAAAATTGTTTGCAGTTCCCAGCAAGTAACAAAAAGGAATCATCTCTGCCATACAAAATTAATTTTTATGTTGCCATTTACATGCTCACTTCTCTAATTGGTAATGAAGACAAAGCTATTGAAAGAAAGCACAGATTCAAGATACACATATGTGTCTATCCAGTGCTGCCTGGGAACATTGAAAACAGCAGCTGATCCGTCACGCCCCAGCTTCAAATCTTTTATGAGCAGCTCCTTTGAAGCCAGTCCTGTATCTCACACATCTGCAACACAGAGCTCTGCTGCTCCATCACTGCCTCTGCCAGATGAGCCACCCAGGGCTTGTGATCCACCACCAACTGTACCTGGTGGGTGGCATGGCAGGGCATAGCACAGCCACCAGGAGATGCGCCCTGCACTTGCAGGGAACCCCATCAGAAAGCAAGCTCCCGCCTCTCATCATCGGGACCCAACCTAGCCCTCCCCCACGACCCATTTGTTATATCTCACATGTTGCGAGATGGTGGGGGGAAACAACAACAAAGAAAGAAAAGCACCAATGTCAACTCTGTATTGAAACGTACAGTTTGTCTTGCTCTGCACTCCCACGTTTCATTTCTACACCAGCTCTGCAGCCTAAGAGCCACACCACACAAAGCCAAATCACAGGCCACAGGGTTAGATCTGGTGCATGGGGCCTGAGCAAACCTGCAGAGCAAACTGTATCGCCCATTAAACACCCTCCCACGGCAGCTACAGAAGTCAGTGACTGGAAGAGAAGGCCTGTCCCCCAACACCTATCTTCCCCAGGTGACCCTGGGGCAGCAGCTCCTCTTCCCAGGTCACTTTGCGCTGCAGCATCTGCAAGCGCAAGCAGGGGCTTTCAGCTGTTCAGTGCAGCAGGACACCAAAAAGCATTGAGCCCCGCTCCTCAAAGGCACTCATCAGGCACAACGCAAACATGCCCATATCTGCCATTTGCACAAGGGACAGAATTTAACACCGTGTATTTCTGCGGTGCGGTTTCTTCTTTCTCAGACTTTAGCCAGGGAGAAGGTCAGCACAAGTGGCCATGTTACCCCACTTTGCCAACAGGCAGCAGAACAGGAAGGCTCCTTCCCATGGTCAGGCAACGGAATCCAAGCCAGGACGGGCCCCAGGGCCACCTACTCCCAACTTGTCCTCATTACTCTGCCAGAGCCTAGTATGGATACTTTTACAACAACAGATAGCCAAAGGAAAAGAAGAAACAAAAGCAAATGACTGATCAGCCTGAGTCCCAGGTACAGTCAACTGACTCAAATCAAAGCAGCCGATTTCAGTGCTCTGACCAAAGGGGACGAGCATTTCAACAGCTCCATCCCAAACTCACAAGTCTTTTCGGTGTTTCTGGATTTGAGCACGTGCTTTCAGATCCTCCTCTTCTTGCAGTTGCTTGGCCACCTGCAAGTCATGTTGCACCAGACGATTACGCTGAACATTTGTTGCCAAGTGATGCTCAACTGGAAATAAACACAGAGAAGAACCCCCAAATCAGCCTGCAGAACTTCATGGTGTGAACAAAACAAAGCAAGTGGGAGGGAGATTCCAGGTCAGAAAGGAAGACAGTTCTTGGCAGGGACACACCACGTAAGATCTCTGAAGGTGGGGAAGTCCTGAACTGGAATCACACTAGCAGCTTGAGATTGACTTTTTTCAGCACTGAGGGAGCTGTATACGTGTGTCTGTTACCAAACAAACAAAGATCTGCATATCTTAATCACATCCACATCTATAGGGAATGGGGTTTTTAGGCTTTGAATTTCATTTTCTGGCCACAGGAAATTACACAAGATAAATAAAGCGGGGCTGGATGGGACCACCAGAGGCCAGTGAGGATGAGTTGAACCCAAACCACTTCTCATGGGTGCTTCCCTAATCTATTCGTAAGAACCTCTAGGAGGAAACTCTTCTCACTCTCAACATAACCAGTTCCAGCATCTCACTACCTTTATATTTAGCAACAGAGCAACAGAGTACTACAGCGAGTCCTTTACCATACATGGACGCTGCCTGCAAGAAAAGGCAGCTACGTGAGCTGCAGCTGAGAGCCAGCTTCAGTTCTGTGGTCTCAGGTTCCAGCAGCAAGGGCACAACTTCAGCAGAGCCTGCATGCTTGGCAGCAGCTGGAACAGTATTAGCACCTAGCACTGGTGGATATCAATGGTCTTGGCACCCAAAGCAGAACAGCAGCCACCACACCTGAAACTGTAATGCAAACATACCTCAAGTAACAGATAAGCACATTAAAAAAAAAAAAAAAAAAAAAAAAAAAAAATCACCAGTCACTTTTAAGTTCCTGGCTGTACTTTTTTTTCTCCTCCTTTTTAAACCCTACAGCATACAGCTTCCCTACCTCAAAATGTCTTAAAGGGAAGCCTCCTTTCAAAAGGCACTGGCAATTCTGAAATAAGTAAATAAACAGACCTCTTCTGGTCACACCTCAGGTCAGCCTATAAAACTTGAAGCTTCCAAAATTGCTAGTCATTTCTAAAAGCCTTCCACAGCAACAAAACCTCAAGTGCACTCCCACATGCAATTTTGTCATAAATGGCATAAACAAACTCAACTCTAAAGGACAGCACAAAATTGAAACGTGAAATGCCGCTATCTCCGGGGTACAATGTGAGCTGGGGCAGAACACAGAGTAGTGTTACAGGACAGTGAAGACAGTAGTAATAATAACCTGTACTCCATGAAAAAGAATAAAAATGAAATAGAAGCAGTGAGGATTTTTCTTAGCAAAACCAGAGACAGACACCTGTTGGGACAAATTTGCTTCAGTTGGTTCCAAAGATCATTGCTACTTACTCTCTTGCTCCTGTAAGTTATGGGCCAAGGTATGATCTTCCAGAACAGCGAAGTCTCGACACACTGGACAGGGAAACAAAGCCAAGAGAATTGGCATCAGGAGAAAAAAAAAAAAAGCAAAACCAAACCAAAACGGCATCAGAAGCGCTATGGAGGTTGGGGGAGCATACATGCAGAGAGGCTTCTGACACATTTGCTTTCTACCGGGCCAAGGTCTGTACTTGTGGGTTTTTCCCCCTCTGCACTTGTGGTTATTTCTAAATGTACTTATTTTTCTGTCCCTGTTTGTGTAACAAGCCTTCTCCGCTCCCCCCTCCACCTCCATTTCTTTAGTTTAAAACCATAATTGCCCACGCCCCCACTGGATCAGGCCTTGTGTACAAAACCCTGTATTCCAACCAGATTTACACCAACACCCACGCTTAGTGTGTTCAACTAAAACCAAGGTCAAGCCTTTGTGCTTACTACAGCTTTTTTACCAGGTTAAAGGTTCCGAGAATAGTATTTTCTCCACACAAAGACACATGCACACCACCACCTCTGAGGGGCTGAGCAGACTCTTGCTGCAAGGCATTTCAACCAGCTCAGGAATCGTTTTATAGTTGTCTCCTGTACGCTTCATTGACTTTTTCAAGTGCAGATGCTGGATTTGTACCTCGAACCCAGATAGGAGATCAATCACAGCATTACCAGTTGGAATAAACACAGCTTCTTAAAAAGATGCTGAAAACTACCCAGAGACAACCTAAACGGGAAGGGGACGGGCTCCCTTTGGCACCAGTCTGAAAGGAGTAGATTTTTGCCAATGCCTATCACTTTCGCACTTGAACTTTCAAAGGAATGCTTCTACCCACACTGTAGAAAAACACCAGGGCTTATTTTTAACTTGTTATGATAGGCAGCGGGGCAACAAAACACAAGTCACATACATACGGGGACGGGAACACGCACACAGCAGCTGGTTTAGCCTCTTGGTGGTAGGTACACATCAACTTCTTGGTGAACCAAGGACAAATTGCGACCTGTGCCCCCAGCTCCGCGCATCTGCCACACACGGGGTTCCTGACTGCTTCAAGGGGAGTTTAAGGCAGGGGCACTGAAAAGTTTACACTGGCGAGGTCTGTCACTTGTTTTTCCCCTCAATGTGACAAGCTAAGCAGCTTAACAGGACCCGAAAGGGGAATATGTCCCATCTAAAACGTACGGCACAGAGCAGAGCACTACAAGGTGCTTCAGAAGCAGCAGAGGGAGGTACGAACCACTCCACAGGCAAAACCTCTGGGGAAGACCAAGGTTTCTCTTTAGCAGAGCACAGCGACAGCCTAGAAGAGAAAGTGAAAATAACCCCAAAACCCCCAGAACATATCAAAACTATACGGGGAATTTATGAGGAACCCGTTCATGAAATGGTTCGGAGTCAGAGAAAAATAAAACATTTCCATTACTGCAAAGGACGGAAAATACTACAAGGAAATGAGAATGCAGCCGAATCTTCCCAAGCCATGGTCCCACAAGCCTTCCCTCTTCTCTCATCGATGCACGTGCTCTGCTAGAGAAGCATCAAGCTGTTTCTCTGCGCCCAGGTATCTTCGCAAAACATCTAGAGGAGTTTCTAGTTGTGTGTGCTAAGAGGTCAGATAAAACGCTTTATTCTTTGGTGTATTCAACAGACTTTCTGGTTGAGTCTTTCTGCACTGAAGCGTGTTTTACAGATGACAAAAGCTCCTAACAGCTAAAGCAGCGCTTCGGGGAAGGAGGGTGACAAGCAGCAGGGTGGAGATGAGGACAAAGATTATGGTTTATGATCCCATAGTGACTCACTTTAAGCATCTACAATTCTGGATGGTGCAATTAAGGTTTTGTTGTTGCTTTTTTTTTTTATTGCAACTTCTTTTAAAAAAGGAAAGAGGATACAAACCCTTAAATAGCACTGAAATACTTCCAGTGGGCATTTGTGTATAAAGAAACACTGCCTTCGGCCACGGATCTGGCAAAGCCACAGCTGAGTTGCAGGCAGCAGTGCTATTTGCAGGTGACATGCCCAGGGTGCCTGGTGGTCACGAGCATGTGTTTTTATGAGCTAGGGCAAGGGGATCTTACCCATAAAGACTTTATTTCTGTGGTCCCTAATACTGCTTCAGTTTCATAGCACGACTGTGGAACAACCACCTTCTGCTTCCAGCAAGCATCATCTGGCCTGCTGGAAGGGCACATCCAACTCGGAGGTTTGAGCCCTACTATCAGTTCAGAGCGAAGCAAACACACCTCGATACAGAGCCACAAACAGTCTGCCCAAATCTAGGGCTGTGCTTTTACTACTACATACTCAAGAACCAGCACTTGCTCTTGACAGTTTGAAAAAAAGAAAAAAAAAGGGGGG